TATGGAAATATACCATCTGGAATAGAATCGCTGCTCAACATGTCCACATATATAGTCAATATATTGCAATACAGTTTGGACTGGACAAATGTGACCTGCTTACCATCAAATTAGGGAAAATGGTGAAAGCTGAAGGAATCAAGATGTCCTATGGAAATAACATGAAGTGTCTGGATGAAGATGACCACTATAAATACTTGGGCATCCTTCAGCTGACATCAAGCACAATGAAGCCAAGAAAAAGGTTAGAAATTAATATATCAGGAGAGTGAAGAAGATTAAGTCCAAACTCGTGGAGGACATACTATCAAGGCAATCAACACTTGGGCAATTCCAGTCATTAGATATACAACTAGAACGATGGACTAGGCTCAAGCAGAACTAAAAGCCCTGGATAGAAAGACCAGAAAAATAATGACAACAAGTTGACAGACTCTATTTACCAAAGAAAATGGGTGGGCATGGAATCTTGCAAGTACATTAGACAATTGATGAAGAAAAAATGACATCAGAAGAATATATTAAGGATAATGTAGAAGATGCACAGAACCTACCAGGAAGGCCTACTGAATATTGGAGAGACCAAATTTGTCTACAAGACCAAATGAAGAACAGAAAGCAGACATGGGAAGACAAAGCATTACATGGCTAGTACATTTAGAAAAAAAACAGCAGGGAAAGCAGATAATAACAAGAGCTGGCAATAGCTAAGAGCAGGAAAGTTGAAGAAAGAGAGACAGAGGGGCTAATTCTGGCTGCACAAAACCAAGCCTTGAGAACAAATGCATACAAAGTCAGAATTGAGAAGACAGCAACAGCTAGCAAGTGCTACTTTGCAAAGAAACCAGACTATCTGGTTAGCTGTTGCAAGAAGATTGTACAGACCGACTACAAACAATGGCATGACAAAATAGGAACAATGGTACATTGGAAGATTTGCAAGAAATATCATTTGCCTGCAAGCAAGAACTGGTGGGACCATAAAAGAGATAAAGTAATAGAACAGTGGTTCTCAACCTATGGGTCGCGACCCCATTTGGGGTCGAATGACCATTTTACGGGGGTCGCAAAACAACGCGACCCGCCATTCCCCCCCCTCAGGGGGTAGCGCCGCACATGCGCGTTGCGCATGCGGGCAGCACCGCGCATGCGCATCGCGCATGGGGCGCCGCCATGCATGCATGCTGCACATGGGGCAGCCCCCCCCGCATGCACGGCGCACATGCGCGGCGCATCCGTGTGACGGGAGTCGCCGTCACACAAAGGTTGAGAACCGCTGTAATAGAAAATGAAGAAGCTAAGGTGCTCTGGGACTTTAGACTTCAAACAGACAGACACCTGCCACATAACACCAGAGAATTAACAATTGTTGATAAGAAAGACAAAAAAGTCTGGATAACAGATGTAGCAGTATCTGGAGACAGCAGAAGAGAAGAGAAAGAAATGGAAAAGATAACAAAATACAAAGGCCCGCAAATAGAAATAGAATGACTGTGGCAAAAAAAGGCAAAGTTAGTACCAATAGTCACGGGCACCTGGGTGCAATCCCAAAGCAACTGGAGTACCATTTGAATACCATTGGCATTAACAAATTCACGATCAGTCAATTGCAAAAAGCAGCTTACATCATGCAAAGAAACCTCTAACATCATCAAATATCCACATCTGCCTATTCCAGGTCCTTAGAAAGAATTCGATAGATAGACAAAAATGTCAAATCCAGTCTGAACATCTGGTATACTGTGCAACAGGCCATAATAATTATATACCAGATAGGTATATGTTGAAAAGAATAAAGTGGATAATTGATGCAGCAATACAAGGGGATAGTAGAATAGAAGAAAAAGAATTGAAGAAGTTCACATAGTATCAAGATCTGAAAACTGGGGCATGGGCCTCCTCAAAAGCGGCTGACTTTGCAGAGAACTTCAATGAGCAAAGCAACAATCACTAATAAAAACATGGAAAAAGAACATACCTTTGTTAAGAAATTCTACAATACTGATGGCATGGTTTGGACATACAACAAGTATGAGATAAATCACATTTACTTCCATTTTTTTTCTTAATCTAAATTCTGCTGTTCAGCCTGCTCTTCCCAATGTTGTATCATTTTAATCACACTGGAAAGTAACAGAAAGGCTTTCTTGTTGATTGATCAATTGGTTGGTAGATGTACTAAGTGCTCTTCTTACCCTGCACTCCACTTCTGGTTCATTATTTTTATTTTTTAATCCTATAGAGAAATTTGTTACTCTCTTCTGGTAGATGTTGATAACTAAAGGGTGGTTGCTTCTGGCATATTATGAGCTATTGTAAGTTGAGAGCTGTCCATCACAAAAATGGGCTGGGATTTTAACAACAACCAATGAATACATTAATTTTTATTAACAGCAGCTGTTATGATTTTTTCCCCCTGCTTTTGCAATAGTAATACACAAGATACTATGGTATGAACAGCAGCAGCAACAATAAAAATCAATAAAAGAAAAACCACACAATCAGCTTCATCTAATTATATATTTGGGTACCAAAGTTTCATACGAAGAGTCAAATTCAGTGCTAGCAAGCAAACAAATCTATGTGAAAAGTGAGCTAATTAAAAACTGAAGAATCATTTGAGCCTTCCTCTTCCTGCACACCCATTTCAGAATTACTTACTACGGCTACAGGGATTTGAAGTACTGTAGTGTATGCCTTGGTGCTAGAACATTATCATGATATTAGTTTTCTGTCTGGTCTTCTTTTGGTTACAGTAAGTGGAATAAATAATGCTTACACTACTGAAGAGTTGAACGACAGAGGCAACAGTATCCATAATCTCCCTGTTCACATAGAGCAGGGGTAGGCAACCCAAAACACTCAAAGAGCCACTTGAACCCGTTTCCCACCAAAAACAAAACACCGGGAGCCGCAAAACCCTTTTGATATCTAAAATGAAGATAACACTGCATATATCCTTTTTTATCTTTATTATAGGTGTGTGTGTGTGTGTGTGTGTGAGAGAGAGAGAGAGAGTGTTTGTGTATGTGTATGTGTATACACACACACACACACACACACACACACACACATTAAAAATAAAAGTAAAAATATGACTCTTTGGAATATCCATACTATTAAAACAATGATCACCGAGAGAATGCTTTAAGAGAATAAAATTACATACACACACAGGTAAAAAAAGGATATATGCAGTGTTATCTTCATTTTAGATGTCAAAAGGGTCTCTCTCTGTGTGTCTCTCTCCCTCCCTCCCTCTCTGCCCTTGGTCTGCCACTCCTCTTTCCCCACTCTCTTTCTTTCTCTCTCTTTCCTCTCTCTCTTTCCCCCTCCCTCTCTCTCTCTCTCTCTCTCTCTCTCTCTTTCTCCCCCCCCCCCCCATCTGCTGCTCACCTGGCAAGCTTCAAGTTGTTCTCCAACAATCTCAGGGGTAGGCAACCTCGTGTCTTTTATGACTCATGGACTTCAACTCCCAGAATTCCTGAGTCAGCCTAGCTGGGCTAGCTAGCTCTCTCCTGCCCTTCCTGCTTCCTGCAGAGACGCAGCAAAGGGAGGAGCTCCGCCCACTAAGCTTTTCAGCTCCTCGGAGAACAATGTGAGCGCAGTCTCTTTTAAACATATACACACACACACACACACACACACACACACACACACACACACACACAACACACACACACACACACAGAGAAGCAGGGAAGCGCAATTGCCTCTCTCTGTCTCTGTCTCTCTCTGCAAAGGCAGAGGAGGCTGGGAGCCACAAGGGAAGGCTCAAAGAGCCGCATGCGGCTCCGGAGCCGCAGGTTGCCGACCTGTGACATAGAGCAACCTTTTCAGAGTTTCTGCAACCTTTTCAGAGTTTCTGTGAAAATTTCCATGAAAGGGTGCTCAATGTACAAGAAAAGTGCTACAGAAGAATGGCCAGCGACACTGACAATAGCCTAATTCACAAGTCCCGTCTGTCCACATGACTGTCTGCTGAGGGAAGAATGGACTGTTTACATGTTCAAAAGGGATTGGTTTGAATTGGCCTGGGGCTAGCAATCCTCTCATGTTAATTAAGATAATAAGGGAGGGACTATCAGAGGAGGGTAGGAACAGAAGTCTCTGTCCTCTCTTCCTTTCCTCCCTCCCTTCTACCTTTCTCCCCAAGTCTGATTAATGCTGCAAAGGGAACAGGAGCATTTTGATATAGTAATAGTAGTAAAGTTGGAAGGGACCTTGGAGGTCATCTAGTCCAACCCCCTGCTCAGGCAGGAAACCCTACACCATTTCGGACAAATGGCTATCCAGTCTCTTCTTAAAAACTTCCAGTGTTGGAGCATTTACTGCTTCTGGAGGCAGGTTGTTCCACTGATTAACTGTTCTCACTGTCAGGAAGTTTCTCCTTAGTTCTAGGTTGCTTCTCTCCTTGATTAGTTTCCACCCGTTGCTTCTTGTCCTGCCTTTAGGTGCTTTGGAAAATAGCTTAATTCCCTCTTCTATGTGGCAGCCCCTGAGATATTGGAACCCTGCTATCATGTCCCCCCTCGTCTTTCTCTTCGTTAAACTAGAAATACCCAATTCTAGCAACCGTTCCTTATATGTTTTAGCCTCCAGTCCCCTAATCATCTTTGTTGCTCTTCTCTGTACTCTTTCTAGAGCAGTGGTTCTCAACCTGTGGGTCGGGACCCCATTTGGGGTCGAACGACCATTTCACGGGGGTTGCCAAACAAGGCTGTCCACCATTTTTCCCCCTTTTCTTTGGCCACGCCCCTGGCACCCGGTGATATATAAGTGGTTGGGGGTCACCACAACATGGGGAACTGTATTATGGGGTTGCGGCATTAGAAAGGTTGAGAACCACTGTTCTAAAGTCTCAAGATACAACACCCACACTATTGTTCTGCCTCCCACTTTTTATACCCTAGTTCTAAAACTCATTAACTTTGCATTTTCCAAGGAATGAACAAACATGCACATGTGCACACATAAACAAATACACGCACACCACTTACCAGAAACTCCTGGTGGGGTTTTAATAAATTTCCCATTAAAATGAGCAATCACTGCTTCACATTTCTCTGTTGATTCCATCCTACATAAAAAATATATATATACAAATATATAAAGTGCATTATTGTATTTATGTACATTAATACAACTCTGCCCAGAGTTCCCCTGTGGTGAGATGGGTGGCCAATAAATTTTATAAAGAAACCATCGTTTGTTCATTTGATTCAGACAGAAGGTAAAATCAAAGATTAGCACGACTGGTCAGGCATAACGTTTCTGTGCTTTCTTTTCCCTGTAAATACTGACATTTCCTCCCTTGAGCTATCTTTAATTTTCTGACAAACTGGAAGTGAATAAGAGAACGAAGAAACCCAAGGCTCATTTTTACAGCGCCTAACCTAGTTTCCCTAGTTTCTGGCGTAGTTAATATAGTTAGAAGGATTCAGTTTCAGGCAGCCTCCTAGTTTTTTACAACTAAATGTAACTAAATGCCTCAGCTTTACTTTCTCTCTTGCCCATTTCTAGGAGGAATTTTGTTTAATGACGTACACTGAAGGTTTAATTTCCCTTATTCTACCAGGCTATGTCCAATGGGCTGGCCCTCCTATTACAAGCCTGCAAAGCTTTCATATTTATGGGCATATGAATAGCAATACTAATAGCACTTGGACTTATATACCGCTTCATAATGCTTTACAGCACTTTCTAAACGGTTTTACTGAGTCAGCATACTGCCTCATTTTACCAACTTTGAAAGGATGAGAGGCTAAGTCAACCTCGAGCCCTCTCAGGACCGAACTCCTGGCTGCATTCTAACCACTGAGCCATCACAGCTCATGAGGCAGGCTGTCCCAAACTTAAAGTTGCAAAAGACGAATTTTTTAATCATGCTTTTGTATGTTGGTATTGGAGCAGATTCCTGAGAATATCATGAATAGTCCAGAAATCATTAGAGGGATCACCAGCAGGAAAAAGGAGATCCTAATCCTGCTACATAGGACTTTAGTCAGACCCCATTTAGAATACTGTGCCGCTTCTGGAAACCTCACTTAAAAAAAGACATTGATAAGTCCAGAAATGGGCAACAAAAATAGTGCAAAGTCTGAGGGACAAAACACATCAGGAGACACTGGAGGAACTGAATATGGATAGCCTGGAGACAGAAGGGAAATATATTAAGGGTGTGAATAAGGTTCCAGAAGGCAGTATTTCCAATATTAAGTAAAAATCAAGGACACGGGGGCATAACCTCGAACTGAGAAATTTAAAAGTAATGTTAGAAAAGTTATTACTTCACAGAAAGACTACTGGAAGCTTGGAACCAACTTCCAGCAGAGATAGTAGGTCAATTGTCAGTAACTGAGTTTAAACATGCTTAGGATAAGCTCACATCTATATCCAACATAAATAAATAAAAATAAAATTTAATAATCAAAATTTAATAAATTAAAAATAAAACAAAAACAATAAACACTCAAGGGGCACAGTTGATGGACCACTGGATCTTTTCTTCCTGTCAGTTTTCCATGTTTTTATAAAACAAAGAAATGGATCATTAAGACAAATCGATTCATAGTTCTTTCTTGAGGCACAAATGATCAACCTCAAATCATCATATTAAGACATATTCCTAATTGGGCCTTTCAGATGTCCTAACCATGTACCCATTCCCAGCATTACAAACTTTTTAAGGGAGTTGGATCTTCACACAATGTGTCCAAAACAACAAAGGCAGGATAAAAAAAATTCTATCAAAAAAATGACCAGCTGAGCCTGCTCATTTGTGCCTTGAATGAGAACTCTGGATTGATTTGTGATTGATATGAGACATTTTAAAAGCAGTCTTACAAACTATGGCAAATGTGAGATATTTATGATTCTTCAAAAGTTGCTAAATGAAATCTTCCAGGAATAGCTGAGAAAAGGCAAGATGTGAATGTACATTGATTTGTTCTTTGATCCATTTACTTGTTCTTTTGGTTATCCATGGTATTCTTAAGACTCTTCTCCAACAACAAAAGCATCAATACATTTCTCTTCTGATTGCTCAAAGTCAAATATTTGTAATATTTATGAGTTTTTTTTCTACATAAAAAGCCATTTAACTGACTATAATATTCACTAACAAAAGCACGCAAATGGAACTGCCTGTCAATTAACTACTTGTCTGACAGCAATCTAAACTGCTCTTATGTAAGTGATCGCCTGCTTCTCAATTGCAACAGCAATGACACTTAAATTGAACCTTGCAATAGTAAATAAAAATGAGGGAAAACTTTGCTGCCTAGGAGTCAAGATTTATTTCATTTAGATACAAATGTTACATGATTTGATCAACAGATATATATATACTTCATATAATTATCTCATCCCTTATTTTTCAGATGGTTGAATATTATTTGATCTATTAGTTGAGCCAGTACTATTTGTTCAAATGATCATCTCTGAATCAAATTCATTTTTATAGCAAAGCCAGAAAGGTTTTCCCAGCTCAGCATCTCTTTGCCCCTGAAGAAATGTAATGTAGCTGGAATGTCCAATCCAATAGAAGAGAATATATGTAGGTCAGGCTGGTTGCTTGCTCACAGATATCTCATTACCCAACTAGGAAACATCAACAGTGCACTGATGATGTTACCTATTTGGGTAATGAGACATCTGTGAACAAGCAGCCAAGTTTAGAGAGCACCAAAGACTCAGGAAGACACACAATTAAAAAAAAAAAAACCTTACATGAATGACAACCTACCTTGCAAAGCCAACTCCACGACTTGTGCCATTGGAATCACGAAGTATTCTTGTTGAGATAACTTGTCCAAAAGGTTTTAGCATATTCTCAAGCTCTTGTTCATCCATTGAAAGTGGCAAATTGGAAATATATAAATTAGTTGGATCTTGCTCCTGTTGCTGAAAAGCAATTAACATTATCTTATTAGTTGTTACAGTTATGAGCTATACAAAATATAAGATAGCTTCTATGGGATTTAATCTATTGCCAAGTCTTCAGAATAAAGTGAATCTAATAATAAGATAGGTTACAGCCAACAAACTTTTAATTCTGAAGTCATCAAACAGCAGTCTACCAAGCTTCAATGGAGATCAATGAAAACTTCTCTAAAGAAATGGTTGTGTCCAAAACCTATGATTACATCTATTCACTGCTACCAGCATTCACAGCATGAAGCTCTTCCTTTTTGTGATAATGTAAGCTATTATTATCTCTACAATTACATTCAAATGAAAAAATCCCAAATAAAAGGAGAAGCATTTGCTCCACAATGGCACAGAAAGCAAAGATGGAAGGCTGTGCTGCTTAACACCCTCCCCCCAATAACAAATTATCTCAATTATAACTAGTTGATTAGACTGATTCACATGAAAAACAAAAGACAAAAGTTGCCATGTATGTTGTCTGCCTTCTCTTTTTTATATTATAAAAGTGTCTTTGAGGAAGCATCCATCACAATGATTCAGAAGGTCAAAATTCATGCCTTGTGTTCAAAATCTCTATTAAGCTAGATGAAGATTCTTCTACTCATTTATGTTATTAATGACACTGTCAACATCCACAGGAAAAGCCACTCCTGGAGTCCTTAAAATATGTGAGTAGCTGGAGGCTTAAAGGAAGCACACAGATTTTCAATGCAATATTTAGATTCAGACTTATTTATAAATCCTATGCTTACATTTTCTTTTTCTTAGCTAAATCTCCACCCACACATACTTTCTAAGTTCCTAATAGCAAAGAATATGTGGGTTTCTTTTATGAAAACTACCCTTGCCAGATATTTAAAAAAAAACCCTCATTTTTCCTTTGCTTTCTAAGCTGCAGTGCACGACTAGAGAGCATTTTTAAGGCCTGGAAGGTTATAAGGGAAAAAGCACAAGTGGGAAATGAGCTTTTACTATAAACATATAAACACACATACACACACAAACTTTCCTCTGGCTCCAGCTGTGTAAAAATATTAACTCAACCAATTCACATGTAATAACAAAGCAAAACACATTTAAGATCGTAGTTTATGTGTCATAAATTCTGAATAACCATGTTGAGACTCTAGAAAGAGTACAGAGAAGAGCAACAAAGATAATCAGGGGACTGGAGGCTAAAACATATAAGGAACGGCTGCTGGAATTGGGTATGTCTAGTTTAAGGAAGAGAAGGACGAGGAGTGACATGATAGCAATGTTCCAATATCTCAGAGGTTGCCACAAAGAAGAGGAAGTCAAGCTATTCTCCAAAGTACTTGAAGGCAAGACAAGAAGCAATGGATGGAAACTAATCAAGGAGAGAAGCAACCTAGAACTAAGGAGAAATTTCCTAACGGTGAGAACAATTAATCAGTGGAACAAATTGCCTCCAGAAGTTATGAATGCTCCAACAGTGGAAATTTTAAAGAGATTGGACAACCATTTGTCTGAAATGGTATACGGTTTCTTGCCTGAGCAAGGGGTTGGACTAGAAGACCTCCAAGGTCCCTTCCATCTCTTATTCTATTTGCAAAAGACATAAGATATAAATGTATTGGAGATAAGACAACAAAATAAGATTTCTTTGGGAAAATATTCAGATTTACGTAAGTTTTTAATTCGATGAAGGTATTTTACAGTTTAGAAAAATAAAGGTTACTGCACATTTAGGAATCTAGCAGTGTAAGGCATTTGCATCTTTTAGGGTATTTTATGTTAATCTTTCACTATTAACATATAAGGAAGATGGTAATATATTAAACTTTCAGTGTGATGAATATACTTGGTTTTCCTAAAATATAACAAAATACCTTTACTAAAGTAATAGTAATACGCAAAGTTAATCATTTCATCATAGAGTTTGTGCAAATCCTAAAATATGCTCCAAGATGCAAAAAAAAACAACCCAACAACCCAAAAAACCCCGAAATAGAATTCACTCCTAAATCACAGCTTATTAAAAGCACTCCACACACATACACACATACATTCTCTCCTTCTCTATTGTTTTTTGAAACGTATTTCCCATATTATGGCCTTGTAACTTGACGACCAGCAACTTGTATGCATAAGTTTAAACTTTTGTTTATTTGAAGCGGACTGTTTTAGGCCTAAGAAAATTAACAGATACACAAAATATTTAAAGGGCTTTAGTTGATGAGAGCAAGACTGTGATATTTGTAACAGCATTCAGGCCTAAAAATAATTATTCTGAGAAATGAACAGCAACTGTTATGGATTTAATTCCCTACTTCTTGATTTATGAAGAAGCTAGATTAGGGACATACATTGTTCCTACTTTAAGGTGATACCTACCTTATGGAATTATCTTTAATAATAATGAGCCACAGGTAAATTTATTTTTGAATATCCCACCAGATTTAGACAGTTTAATGTGTTGGTGCTTTTTTATTGATATGTTAAAGCAGAGGTTTAAGCAGTCATTTGATCTGGTTTGCTTTTACCTTTACCAATTATCTTCAATCCATTCTGATTTGTTGAAAAAATTATTACTATTACCTGCATAAATAACTGACATCTTGATCATTCAAATAAGATTGAATAACGATTAGTACAAATATTGGTAATCACTATAATTTGGATTAATTAGCCGCACTGGCTAAAGCAATGCAAATCCTATTTGTTTAATTCTTATGTGCCCAGTCAAGTGCCTCATTTAATATCAAGTGCCTTATTTGGCTATCACATTTTACACCATCTTCAGCTTCCAATCCAAGCACAAGAATGAGCCAATTTAAAATGCATTTTGCACACACCTATAACATTATTGCAATGGGAAATGTTGCATATTCACAAAATGGCTGCTATCCTCTTCGGACTACTACCCCAGTTTGCTTAGCTTTCCCTCAACTACTGGGCTACATTTTCCCCAAAATTCTGTTGCCTCCCACTATTTTTATTCTTTAATGATGTCAAAGAGGCCTCAAAGGCAGTCATGGAGATAGATAATACCATGGTCCAATGCTTTGGGCCTGTGGGAAGTCAGTTCTCCACTGATTCATAACAAAAATCACAGATGGAGCCTGTAACCTAACAAGAATCAAGGGAACTATTTATTTGGGGGTGATGTTATCTGTTTCTAATGCAAAATTGTTTAAAAATAACTATGAAAGGTTGTGGGCTAGTGTACAGAAAGACTTGAGAAATTGGGAGAAGTTGCAATTATCTCTCATGGGAAGAATTGCAGTGATAAAAATGAATATTCTACCCAAATTTCTTTTTCTGTTTCAAATGTTACCGATTTTGAAGAACGAGATTAATTTAAGTGAATGGCAGAAAGGTATCAATAAATTCATTTGGGCAGGGAAAAAGCCAAGGGTAAAGTTTAAAATCATGCAAGACTTCCATGAGAGAGGTGGATTCAAGGTACCGAATCTGAAATTATATTATGATGCGGTGGTTTTAACATTAATCAGTGATTGGGTAAATTTAACAAATCTTGAGATACTCCATTTGGAGGGATGGGATTTACTTTTTGGTTGGCATGCCTATTTAATATTTAATAAAAAAGTGGATCGGGCTTTTAAATCTCATATTATAAGAATTTCTTTACTTAGGGTTTGGAGAAAATATTATAAAAGTGATTTTAAAGTACCATTATGGGCTATACCTTGGCATGCGATAGAAGGAATAAAAAGAGGTGTTAAAATGGACACGGTGTCTTACACACAGTTACTTAGATGGGATGGACAAAATTGGCAGTTAAAATCACTGGAAGAGTTAGTACACGAAAATATTACTTATTCTTGGTTTCAATACAGGCAATTAGTAGACAGATGGAAGATGGATTGTAAGGTGGGTTTTCTCAGAGAAGATGAAAATTTTATTAAGCAAGTGAGGGATCAAAGACAAACTCATATTAAGAGAATTTATGGGGTTCTAGTGGAATTGGACTCAGAAACGGAATTAATTAAAGATTGTATGATCAGATGGGCGCAGAATTTTGGTGAACCAGTCCTATTGGATACTTGGGAAACTATTTGGGTGAGAAATGTTAAATTTACACAAGCACAGAATCTAAGGGAGAATTTCTACAAAATGTTTTATAGATGGCACCTTGATCCACAAAAAATGTCTTTTATGTACCCTGACCTACAGCCTAAATGTTGGAGATGTGGCTGTATGGATGCCACCTATTATCACATCTGGTGGTCATGCAGAGATATAAAAGCTTTTTGGATTAAGATATGGTGGAATATTCAGAGAATTTTCAGAAGGACGGTAAAATTTACTCCACAATTATTTTTGCTAGGTATAGTTACTGATTGTGATACAAAGGAGGTTATATTGATGTTAAATTTGATTACAGCCGCAAGGCTGTTAGTAGGACAATATTGGAAGCAGGAATCTTTGCCTACTTTGCAGGAATGGTTCCTTAAAGTGTCTTATTTGGCGGAAATGGCAAAGATTTCGGCTTTCTTAAAAGAACAATCGCAAGAGAAATTTCTTGCTGTTTGGGATAAATGGATAAAGTTTATACAATTTAAATTGGATATAAAAAATATCATTTAGCTTTTTTATAACTTTTATTTTTATATATATACATATATCTTAGTGTTATATTCTCTTTTTTTATATAACTTTTTTAAAAAAATTTTTTTTTTAACTAAGCCTATATTCTGCTCTGGGAAGCTCCGGGGGGGGGGGAGGGAGTGGGTGTTTTGGGGGGGGTTGGGGAAGGGTTGTTTTGTTTTGTTATGGTTGGTTTTTTTGTTTATGTTATTCTTGTATTGTTTTGTTTTTCTGTAAAAATTTATAAAAATTTTCAATTAAAAAAAAAAAAAGAATCAAGGGAACTGTCTATGGTTACTGCCTACACTGCCTTTGATAGATACTCAGTATTATTTAACAAATTTTCAGAGAAAATGCTCTGCTGTTATCAAAGATGCTTTTGTGAATGAGGTAATCATCAG